GTTACTAACTGATTGAGAAGAGATTAAGTCTGCGACGCAAGTTCTTGGAGCCCCTGCCTTTCTAATGTACCTTTCAACAGAGCCCTTTTTGGACTAAACTTTTTATCGAGCTCTTGATGTTCTTTTTTTGTAAAGTTCTTGTTGCCCAACAATTTTATTTTGCTATTTGTTACTACACACGTCTACTACGGCGACCTTGGGTCAGCCATGCTTGTCCTGTAACAAGATTTTTGTGTTGGAGACCCTGTTGTTCTAGTTTTTCAGCGTTTTGTATTTGTGACCTGAAATTGTCACTAGCAACTGTTGAAAATTTGAAGTATTTATTGGGCAGCATTTCGTTCTACCCTTAAAATATTAGCCTATATTTGCCAAAAGTATTGTTAATAAAACTACCGGTAGTTTTTCAAGGAAAAATAGATTTGGTGCTCCAGAGCATATAATACCTGTGCATGCCAAGCCATCACCAGCATATCCTACGGAGCAATGGCACTTATAGGAGCCAATGGTGTTTGTGCAGACAGCATTCTTGTGGCAGTGGTTATTATTTCCTCCACATTCATCGAAATCTAATTTAAAAATCAAGTAGTTAACAATTGTTTAATCAATCAACCCGCCAATCGATTGTCAATTAACTTTTTTATCAAAAAATGAAATGAACTTAATATAAACGTATGGGCACATGGATCAGTCAGTTAAAACTCTTCTCGATGATCGGACTTATTCAAAAAACGCTAAAAGCGTCAGCCTCTTGGATTCTTTCTGCGATGTCTAATTTTTCTACTCACTGATTTTCTTTGATTTTCTTGTGATTTTCTAGTTTTCTGAATTTCTAGTGCCTGATTTTCTTTGTAAACTAATCCTTCAACCCATTCCCTTTGGAACATTTCGATAACTGACAGATTTGCAGTAAACTCAAAACACTTGTCCAGGTGCAAATTGGTAAAATGCCAGTATGTCTTTTTCGGCAACAAGAAACAAAAACTTTACAGTTATGTATCAATGACACTTAAAGCCTGGCGGCGTTAACTTAAAGACCATTTTTAATTTCCTAGAAACGCTCCCTTGCAAAATGATTTCAACTGCTAAACCTTTCTTGGCGAAGGAGTTTCGTTGGAACACTTAAGGTTTGGGGCTACTTGGAAATGGCTTTTTGAATAACAGCTAGCAATAATGCTGCTGCTGCTGCTACTACTGATGATGATGATGATGAGGAGGAGGAGGAGGAGGAGGAGGAGGAGGAGGAGGAGGAGGAGGATGATGATGATGATTATGATGATGATTCATAGAAAACGAGTTTAAGTGCGAACCCTTACCAGAGGAAGGGGTTTATTTGAATGAGAATAGAGAACAATTTCCACTTGTAAACAAAAACTTTGAAGTTGACCTCGATTTGAAAAATCAGCTTGGTGCAAATCGCAAATGGCTTTTGCATAGGAACTAATGATAATGGTAATGATGATGATGATGATGATGATGATGATGATGATGATGAACATCGCCTATTATTATAGAAGAGAGGTAAGTCACCCACAAACCTTCTGAGCAGGTATAGTTATGGCATGTATCACACCTCACATCATTCCACTTAAAACTATGTCTGACTCCTAATGTGTGAACGCAATCTTCATTGTTGAAGTTGTTTGGTTGGTTTTTCGCCCAGTATGTGAAATTATTGGTTTGATTATCTGCCCAGGTGAAATTTCCCTCTGTGACCCTATCGTTTAGACCAATCCAGCCCTTAGCACCATTCAGCCGATGCTGAATATAAACGTTTTCTTCTTGATTCCGTACGGTGATGAGGTTGGCGCTGTATGCCTGGCAGATTTTCTCTGCTTCGGTCCAATTCTTGCATGAATGGCTTGTCGCGTAGCAAATACCATTAAAATATGACCAGCCCGGTTTGCATACATCTGCAATATTACAAAAAAATTTGTGTGAAGTAAATAGTGCAAAACGAAGAGAAAATAAGGCATATAGGCCAGACGTCGAACTTTTCATGAGACGAACCAAACTTAGTGAGTTAAGTTTATTAAACGTTTTACTTTTGGCTCAGTTAAGATAGTCTGAATGAGTTTGGATCGTCCAACATGTTCAGACGGGCAGAGCGTCCGAAGATCGTCTCCGGTACAAACGTCGATCTTCACATGCCCTGAACTAAACTAATAAATTTAAAAAATTGTTGCATAATGTATATAAAATCGTTCGGGGGAAAATAATTTTGTTACTGATCTGATTCACATGATTGGCTCGATGCGTCCTATATATAAAGATCGACGTCTGACCCAGCAGATCTAGACGAGATCTTAACGTGAGTATGGTCAACCCAAATTGGCGTATGGTTCGTTCCATCTAACAATTGCTGGGCGGCAAGAGAAGGTCTTCGCAAAGAAATTATTAAATTTGTTTTTATTATTTACCAACCTGCTAGTACTGTGTAGGAGACAGTCACAGGATCATGCTGGTCAGCGAACAACTCCTTGAGACAAATGCGAAATTCGCTGGTCTTGATATGCTGTAAAATAAGCATATCATCATAATCATATTTACCTTAGAAGAACAGTAATAGCTCAACTTAAAGAGACTTTCGCTTAACAGCCTGTAACTGAGTCATTTCCCTATCTAAACAAAAAAAGAACATGGGAAACTGACCTTGAATAACAGATAGACAAATAGATGGAATGTTTCGCTGCGCGACTGTCACTGATAAACAGATTGCATGAACAGACCTTGGTGAAATTTAGCTCATTTGAGCATTCCCTATCAACCCTGTCAGCTTGATGTTACTTATTTTGAAGAAATTGTGTTGTGTATTAGTTAAATAATTTGAGAATACCTCAATCCATGGGGTCACGGACATGTATATTGGCTTCAAATTGTTGCCCTCTGAGTTGTGACCGGCTGCTATCAATACTATGGGTTCTTTGTCGTAATTCTTTGCAAATGGGACGTCCTAAGGACATAAAAAGAAGGCTGTTGATATAAAATTTGAAACACCATCCATTCCTGATCAACGCATAGTCATATCATAGGTGATGAACGTTCATAAAACAAGTTCCTTTCATCTCTTTTCTTTTGAAAGATCATGATGACATGATATGGCAACTAGATGTGAGATTAATCATGGTCGACTTTCTTCGTTTTTACTCCTATTTATTAAGTTGGGATAAAATCTGGAGTTTTTACAGCCGCAAAGATGATTTAAAATGCCTAAATGTACTTATTTGATAGCTGCTTTTCTCTGCTGTTCCATTACACTTTCAAAAAAGTCGTTCGTCGGATTTAATATGGCGCGGGATGAAGGTCGATCTCTCGCGACTTTGTCGCTCAGTAGGCCGCTTCGCGGCCTCGCCGAGAGGTGGACTTGTAGCAAGTCTACTGTTCCATCTAAAAAGATAAAGAGCTTTCTTCTGCTTAAAAGTAAAGTTGCGTCTTACCTTGCAAAATGCACCATTGTAGCTTGTAGAAACGGAATTGTTGTTTGGAAAATCCACGTGTTTGCTCTCAGCGAAAAGGGGCCTGTGGATTGTTTCAAAGGCCATCCAACTCTAAAAAGAGGGATAGCAATGAAAAGTGGATTGCTATCTCATACCTAAATCCCGTGTAAAAATATTTGAGCCATGTGCCTGAAAAACGATTTGTAACTTGTATCCACAATGCCTGCGAGAGCTCATTTCACGCATATTATCATTGACCCTATTCAGACCGTTTTTTTTTTTGCTCCCTGCGAGCGGGGTGGGTTGGCTTTCGAGGCTCCCCTCTATAACTTTAAAACCTGTAATGATACGGCCACCAAAATTACACAGAATAAAATATTTTCCAACGTCTAGGCATAATTTGATTGTCACAATGACGTTATTTGACGTCATTACAACGTCATATTGTTGAATTTGTTGGCTGAATAATGTGCTGCATTAGATAGACTGTCACGAGTTTCTCAATGGCTATTAACCTACAACCTCCCCCCCTAAAAAAAGGCCTTTCATAACTTCCTATATAATTCTCTCTGTATGCCAGTTTGAAATCAGGGCGCGTTTTAGATTGAACACGGCTCTCTTAGTGAGCATTCTTAGAGTTTTTTGTGGCTGCCTTAAGCAAAGCTTTCCGGAAGGCATCATGAAACCTTACGAAGGAATAAGTCTCACGATTAAGTCTGCTACGTCTTCTCGTATTTCGTCTCATTTAGCTACACGGATGAAAGACTGATCCCAGGTTTGAGAAGGAAAGATTGGATATTGCGAGCTTTGTTGTTGGCAGCAGAAAGTCTTTGGCCCCACAAAGTAGGTTCTAGGGGTGAAATTTATCCGGCGAGATGGAAATTGATGCTGATCTCTGACCAGGCCAAAGACGTCTTCGTCAAAAAATTGTTTGGAAGGCGGGGGCTCCATGTCTCCTTTTCAACCGCCGGTTTACATCCAGGATCTTGAATAAATCGACTGTGTGACTCGAGAAAAGTTTCAATCGACGATTTATGTGCAGAATGCGACAGTTTTTCCGAGTAATTTGACGAGTAATTTCGCCCGTGTTAAATGTGGAAATATTACGAGTGGTTTTTTGGAAGTTCTGTGATTGCCACGAAATTAATATTGTGTGATTTACCGAAAGCGTTGACAAACAAAATTGAGGTATGTGCTTGAGCTCGTGTTACCAGGTTACGGTATCAAGCATAAAAAGAAACGCTTCACAAGTATTTAGTTTAGGTGATTTTGTCTTAGAAAGCCTATTCTGTGCTCAAATATTGTGGCTTCTTAATCTGTTTTCGGCAGACACTTGCCTATGGGGCCTCATGGTTTGGCTGACTAAAAGGTTATAATTTCTGGACGTTTCAGATGTTGTTTATTTTATCCCAAAATCCTGTTTCTTCTGGGAGAAAAATTCACCGTCTGCTGCCAGCAATAAAGTTGTCAGCTGGTATTTTGTAACTACTTTCCATTCGACTTAGATATCAAATTGTTAAAATGCACTTGAAATTTCTTTAGCCAAGATTTAGCAAACGCCAGACAGATATATTTATAAAGGAGAAAACATATACCACAAAGATATCTTCATGTAGACCATCATAATTCTGTAGTTCTCGAAGACAAATGTAAAAGGAGGAACTGGTTGCGTTTTCCACCCACAAACTTGCGGCATCATGCTTAAAGTCTGCACTTATATGTTCTGCTGTAACCAGGACCGTTGGTGTAGACGCAAATTTCCCCTGTTAAAAAAACCATTCATAACAGTAAGAAAGTTGAATTGGTAATCATTAAGTATAAGTTTGGGAGAATAGCATGTAAAATTTGGAATAAATGACATTTCACATGATCGGGACGCTCATAGGACATTGGATCGTGGTCAGGTGTCTGAACGCGACTGTCAAATTTAGCCCTAGACCGTACAAGTTTCTTTCTCCTATATTTTTTTGTATCAAATAATGCTTTTTTTAAGAATATCTCCCCCCTCTGACAAATAGTGTAAGAATTGAAAAACGTTGGCCTATGTGTCAGAACGAATTTCGCGGACAGAACTGGGCTGCCTCTTTGCAGCTCATGTCTCCAAGTCCAAGTACAATATCTTTGATTGGATAACAACTGGAGGGTTTAGTACTTATGACATCAGCATATCAAATGTTCACCTTATTGAAAACTTAATTAAAGGTCATTATTTTTTATGGTTTATGCAACGAAACAAGATGCAGCTGAGAGGTAACAATAAATTGTTATTGCCTGAGGAAGGCTGACTTTTGAGCACTGTGATCCAGTCCACCATTCTGGAATGCGCATTTTACCCGCCACACCTCCATCAGGAGCACCTTGGTAGGCCATCCAGTCCACCGTGGCAAATTCTTTGATAAAGCGATCATTTCTTCCTGCTGCAGTCACGCACACCTAAAGATAAAATGTAATGGCTAATGTTTATTTTATATGGTAAGATAATATATAGATTTAGCCAAGGCCAAAAGCGAAACTCTCGTGGTAACTTACTTCCTGTAGTAAAGTTTTCTAAGCCTGCGAACTCTTGAATTCTGTTACTGGTCAGCGGAGAACTTTAAAAAACCCGTCATCTCAATAAGTTGCACACCTGAGCCCACGATAAAGTCATGTGACTCTGGTCTGCGGATGCCCTACTTTGACAGCTGTCAATTGATTATAACATGGATGTCCAAAATCGAGTTAAACACAATTTGTATATGTTTTAGACTTACAGCTAGTAAGACATTTTACATCCGTTAACATGAAGACGCGGTCCTACGTACGTACGCACGATTTTGTTAGTAACCAAAATTTCTTGGATACATAGATAACCAAATTTTCTACCCATAGTGTTCCTCTGCGCACGCAACACGCGAAAACTCCGCTAGTAACTCGTTGTGAAAATAAAATATGTTTAAATAGTATTTTACCGGCCAGAAATATGACAGGTAAGCAAGAGTTCTTGGAGATGTAAGACAAATGAACAAAGGCTCACTAATTACTACTTGAAGTAATACTTGAATTGAACACTTCCTTTTAAAATATTCACCTCAAAATTCTCGAAGTTAACAGTTTCCACCCAGGACACAGTAGCATCATGTACAAAATTTTTCTCGCTTATGTTCCAGTGATTGGTCGTTATTTGTACGTGCACTTCTTTGTCCGGATAGAATGAAAACGGTGGAAATTTCACTACTTCACAGGCCGTCTCTGCCCACTGTACATGTCTCCTCAGTGAAACTCGCCCAGTCTGAACAGGAAAACCTGTCGAGGAACAACAAGAAAAAGAAGATACAACATAGAAGAAAAACAAAGCTAATTAGAGCTGAAAGCGATAAACAACAAACAAACAAACAAAAAAACAACAACAGCCATAAAGTTAACATAAAGACAAAAAAAAAGATGCATCCTACAAATACCTGATGAGGATGAGAAAAAAAAGGTATAAAATCCTTTCTATATGCGAGGAAGTAATTTAAAAGCTGATTGTACAATTACACAATCATATAGTGGCACTATATAATTGGCACTTTATTGCGTTCAAAACAGTACCAAAATAAGCAAAATAGTATTTAATCATGATCAATTTTGGACCTACAGATGCACGGAAAATGCCATGTGCATGAAACGGAATTCCAAGATGGCGCCCAAGATGGCCGCCAAATTGAGTGATGTTATAAGTAATCAGCCGTACCATATCTCATAACACTAGAGCTCTACATACGCTGGTTAAGGTGGTTTTAAAAAAACCTTATAATCCGCTCTCTTACCTGTACAGCTACCGGGATGATAGAGAGTGTGGTTACTCTTGCGCCTGCAAATGTCCAGCAGACAAAAGCACTTGTTCTTAAATGTTGTCGAGTTGGATGAACACACTGGCTCCTCGTACGATGGGCAGTTGTCATCACAAACACAACGGGCATCAAATGCAGAGAAAGCTTTGCAGATGGCATGGTAATCGCAAGTAACGTTTGTGCACGGGTCTATATCTTTAGGGTAAAAAAACAACAAGAAAATCAGCACTTGTATGAATAGCAAATTGACCTGACGTCCTACATCCTTTGAGAGCGCAACTGCTTTTTAATTTTTTTAAATTTTGCTTTGTTTTTCCTGTGAAGAAAATCGATGGCAAAAAAGACAGGAAATGGGGAGTTACTTTTTCTACAAATTATTAAAGCGTTTGAAAAGGCGATCAATACGATGCTGTCCTTATTTAAACGTCATTTTTTTATAACTTCTTTCTTCGACATTTGATCATAGTTTTTTATTCTTATTCGAATTCATTTCTTCAATTCGACGTTTGACCCAACGGCCAAATTCCTTGACAGTAGGGCGAATCAATATGAGAGACAAATCTTTGAATTTAAAGAATAAGCAAATATAAGAGTAATGTACCTCCCACTATAGCATAGTCCACTGTAACTGGATCGTGAGACTTGCTCATTCCCTGACTGTCTTTGATGCACACTTTGAAAGACAAACGAGTGATCTCCTGGAATACAACATCAAATATACCAATAAATAAAAAGCTTGTATTGACCTGTTAGCTTTTAGACAGGGGCGTCCAGTTAGGCAATAAGAACAAGAGCAACTTTGAATCGTTTAAACGGACGTACAGTTCTCACGGTTATATAATGGACGCTGCTGTCTGTTGCAGTGTGACTACTATAACCGAGGCCATCTAGACAAAGTTGACCAATCGGATTACATGAAAAGAACAATACATTCCGAGAAAGTTAGTTTTCAGTCATAATCACCACGGAAATAAATAATAATAATAAAAAAAGAATGGATCGTAATCAACCAATTACAATCTACAGATGTGACCGTTTTTAAACCATGAACCCATAGAGCCTCCGTTAAAAAGAATCATCAAGTGAAAATGAGTACGGGAAATGACAATCAGCTTGATGATTCAAGTTATTGCCTGAATTTGCCGTAAAGTGTTAAGTGCCACTTCGAACTTCTTCTTTAGTTATAAGTGCTTTACTCTTTAGCGAAGGTAGCTATTTTAATCAGCAAATCTTTGAAACAGCTTCAATCTATTATGTGTCTTCAAAGCTACTCACCTCAATCCAGACAGTCAAAGCGTTGCTATAGCGACCATCTGCCTTCATTGACAGTTCCCTGGTGACATTTTCATGGCCGACAGATGCCAGAATATTGGGCGGCTCGTAGAATGGATTCTCAAACTTATAATCCTATAAATCATGATATACCAAACACAATAATTTTCCCTGACTGTTTAAAGAAATATTGCCTCTTTGATCCTTTTGAAGAAAGTGATATTGTCCCACTTCATTAAGAAAATGATTAGGCAAACTCTAAGTCTATAAAATATATCTAATAGTGGATGCACCTCCTGAACACGTTGCAGTCAACAAATCTAAAACACAACTCTTGTGAACAACGCATTGATGATCAAGAAGGTCTTATCTCTTGTTGGACTTAAATTCTTATTTCAAAAATGCACAATACGCCGATGCTACAGTGTCAAAGAAATGAGAAATACAAAACACAAACGTTGATTGTTAACCACGTTGGTTTAAAGGCTTGAGTTTGTAAGTTAACCCTCGGACGTACATGCAAATTCAGGTACAAAGGGGGGGGGGATGGAACCCTCCCGGTGTTTTTGATATGTTTCAGTATTTTGAAACCATTTTATCTTTAGTGGAAAGCCTTTCATCTTCTTAACAAGATGAGGTATATTTAAGGGCTGGTGGCGCTGCTGAAGGCCTGTGACGTCACCAACAATGGTCGCCATCTTGGAGTTTACCAAGAATTAGAAATCTGGTTAAAACTGCGAGAAATGGTAATTTTTTGTGCTTTAAATGACAAATAACACAAACAAGCACTTTGTATGATTTTAGCCACAATATTTACTTTTATTGTTGAAAGAAGTTGAAAAAACATGTATTTTCACCCAAAATTGGCTTGACCGCCCGCTACTTCTGACGTCATATATCGTAACCATAGCTACTCACCATCACTAAACTTGTCTCAAAATGTACGCGTGGGATTAACGAACTGAAAACGTCTGGTACTGACATTTTATCCTCTGGGAAAAAACTCAGAAAAACCATATGGGTGGGTGGTATCCATCCCCCCCTTGTACGTCCGAGGGTTAAGTCAATAAAAAATTGAATGTATCATTAATAAACGTGATATTTCCAACCTGACAAAAGGCATAATTGCTCTCTTTCTTTGGTGCACCAAGTCCAGAAAAATGAAGCCTTCCTTGCTCAGTAAAATTCCAAGCCTCAGGTAGCAAATCATAAGCAAGCCAGTTCTGAAAAGGTGGACGCAAGTAACAGTCACAGCATTAAACGTCTTTCCTTCTGGGTTTTTAAGAAAACTTAACCTGACGGTGGGAACCCTGACAAAAATTCGTATCTGCAGTCTAAGAAAGAAGCAAAATACCATGACCTATATTTAACACTATTCGGATCGGGCGTTTTTGAGCTCCCTGGGAATTGGAGGGGGAAGGCCCCTTAGAGAAGTTTATAACCACTCATGATACAGCCACTAAATTTACACAAAATAGTGTAATCATCATTCCAACAAGTACGAGTAATGTGATTGACACAATAACGTAATTTGACGTAACTAATGTCGCCTTGTTGCATTTATTGTCTTAACCCATAGCTTATCAATTGTTTCTGTAGCCATTAAGCAAAAATAATTAAATTACTTAAAATCATGATGATGGTTGACAATTTGATCATCTTTAACAACGGAAGTGACAACATGATGACGTCATTTCTTATTGAGACCATATGCCTTTTTGGATGTGCCATTTTGAATTATTTAAATTAATTCCATTTATTCCTGCTAGTTGGCCATTTTAAATTCAATTAATGTTTCCAAACTAGTCACTAAAAGCCTAGATCATATTAACAGCTACGTAAATAATGCTAAATTAAGTGTGATATAATAATTCATTAATAGTAAATCTAGAAAAAATTAGCAAGAGTCGCCAAGTTTGATGGTCCTAGCTTGAACGGTTTTAATTTTATTCAACATTAAAGTGTTAGGAGGCCTCAAAGCCAACGGCACCGGGCTGAAGTGAACCCTAAAGTGAACCCTAAAGTTTCATCTCAGAATGTATTAGGGAAATGACGAGGGTAGTTTATATGCGCGACTACAAGAAAACTTTCTTTCTTTTCAAAACGCCTGCTGCACATGCGCAGCAGGGGCGATATTTTGTTAAGGCTGAAAAGCCGTTCTTTGAAAGGACAACCCCGCTCCCTGATCAGCGCCCCCCTCCCCCCTTTTTCACTTCCAGTCCACCCCTCCACCCCTTTCGTCAGGCTGTCTTTGCAAAGCAAATTCAGAGTTTTACGGTTTTAAAACATTTATGGGTTAGGTATAACAATAATTCTTCTAATATGATTTTTACGTAATATAAAAGGGGAGGCCAATTTAACCACCAGGTTTTTAATTAGCTTCCATACAATCAGATTTAACTTTAAATTTAATTGATAACAATTAAGGACGAATAAAAACGTAATAGTCGAAGACTGGGCTAATTTTTTGAAAACTCACCACTTTAAGTCCGGTATGGATACCGTCGAAACTCATAAACTCTCTCAAGCAAACAACGAAGCCGTCTGCTTCGACCTCTTCGAGCCAGACGTTCATGGAATCAAAAGGACGGTTAGAATGTTTATGTTGAACGGTTACAAACACTTGAGGTTTTATCTAAAAGAAGAGAAAAAATCACCCAATAAGTACATATGTACATACTGAGCTTAAATATGATAATCGTCCTTTGCCCCGAAGAGGACCGGATTAACACTGCTTAACGTTATGGACTGACGTTATGACAATCTCATGGCCATTATAGCTTCACAACAATTGTTGATTGGGAAAATAATCAAGTATCGACTTCATTTCGGCTTTGAACAGTTACTCGGTTTTGCATGCGGCGATTTGCCAGAGTATTAGGAGGAGATTCTTGAACAGCAAACAAAACATAGGAAAAAAAACGGACGATTCATATAGTGCTAAGCCCTTTTCTTGTTAAAGGGGATATGCCACGATGATATTGCTGCTTTAGGCCACTTCGCAATTCTGTGCTGAAGTAATCACTGTGTCCATTTATCCATGCATTAAATGTTCCTGCAGAGCCATGACGAAGATATCAAACAACTTTCATCATGGAGCACTATAACCATTACATTTTTTGGTGATTTTTGCAGGCATAGTATTTAAACAATTTACAAAACAAGGCCATTTTTTTTTTAATTTTACTGATGCGAAGTCACGCGCGTTTTCGTTATTTTTTTCCCTTAAGGTCGAAGTTGAGTTATGAGTTTTTCGTGGGTATTGACTTTAAAACTAACATGGAAGACTAAATGAATGAATTGGATGACGTTGCGAAGTTACCTGTTTCTGAATGCTTAGCGATATCTTCTTGCACTGTGTTCGTGACGTGAATTCATTGAATTCCACGATCCCTGAGTGTATGCCTTGATGCGAACCTTGAAATGCAAGCCAGTTGATCACAGACGTTCCACCAGAGCCACTTCCTGCTTCGCGCACGCAAGGTTCAAAACCTGTTGTTGACACCGACTTCACCCAAAGAGACGCTGGGTCGTGGATTTTAATATATTTGTTTCCGTGACTGAGCGTGGCGAACACCTTTACATCTCCCGAACCCTGGAATCGAGTTTCGAAAGAAACGGCTTGGCAACCATGGTTGTTTTGGGAAGTGTCGGTAATATTTACCTTCCCAGCTTGAAAGACCGCCCCTTGAATGTAAAAAAAAATAAAATAAAATAAAAATAAAAAAGAACTATGATAATGATATACACGATAACGATAACAATGACAAATAACAATAACGATAACGATCATAATGATGATGATAATGATGATGATGATGATGATGATGATGATGATGATGATAATGATGATGATGATGATGATGATGATGATGATGATGATGATGACGATGACGATGACGATGACGATAGACCTGCCAGCTGGGGCGGAAGGGGGTATAGGGGCTACATATATCTTAGTATTTTACAATTAGACCAGATGAAAGGCAAGTTAACAGCGGAATACATCGGAAGAGAAATTAAGACGGTTGTGTAGATTCAAATTGAATGGCGGAAATCTTATTAGTGCATCAATGCCTAAGCTGTAGGTTTAGTAAGCTACAGTGTAGGTATCGTGGATTGCATGTTGGAAGAGATGGTCAGTATGGATAGAAAAATTAGGACGATACTGGCGGTAAATGGCTATTTACACACAAAAAGTAATGTTGCCAGACTATATCTACCGAGAAAAGAAGGGGTGAGAGTTGATTGGTATTAAGGAGTGTTAGAAGGAGAAAAAATTGTTGCATGGCTACCTGAGAGATAACACGAGTGGATGCTGCATGACTTTGAAGGAGAAGGTGTTTGTTGAAGAAGAGAATCTTCAGGACTACCAGAAAAGAAGGGAAGAGGAGAAAGTCAGGAACGGGAAGGTCCACATCGAGCATTTGCTACCAAAACGTCAGGTTTGGCTGAAGAGGAGTCCTGTGGATGTCTCAGAAATGGTTTGTTAAAGATGGGAAAAGAAGGCAAAGTAATGCAAAGCAATGCAAAGGCCTGGTATGGAAGATTAAGTTTGCCCGACATTTTTTGAAGTACTGTACAGTACCGCAAATGATCCCCAACCGCAAATGATCCCGAGACCGCAAATGATCCCCAAAATGGACCGCAAATGATCCTCGACCGCAAGTGATCCCTAAAGTCGACCGCAAATGATCCCGAAAGAAAAATAGGAATGGCTTAGACTCAAGTTAGCGGATCATCGTGTCGATTTTATTATTATTACAATAAGTCAGGTTAAAAGCTAAATTTTACTTCTCAAATAAATATATGAATAAAAACTAAATGCTGCTTGTTCCAATGACTTTTTTCCGGCTCTGGCGGGTAGATTATACCTCTGAGGAAAACGTTTTGACTGAGCAAATAGGATTTTTGCCGCTTATTTCATACTGAGAGGCCATGACACGCATTTTCCGCGGTTATTGTTGTTTCTGGTCGACATGATGTGCCCTTTGATGCAAGAGCATTTCCTTCGGCCTCTTTTGAAATGCAGTGCTCTTCATTGCCGCTAAATAAGGGTTTTAGGTTGTTTAATTTTCTCCTAATTGCCTCCTGGATCGAAATAATCATAAGCGATTTTGTTTTAGTCCGTGAATGTGACGGTTTCTTACGATGTTTTGTCACGCGATAACTACTGCTTACCTGGCTTTGCGTTTCTCATTACCAGGGTTAGATTCCTGGTAACTGTCTTCAGCAAAGCACAACAAATGAATATACATAAAAACGCTAATATAACTATTCACAACACGTTCATGAGATGTAAGAAAGTTGCTATTTCGAAATAAACCGAAACCTGTGGACATTGATAAGTTCGGGGGCATTTTGACTTGTGTTTATGTTAAATCATGTCTTGTTTCGTAACGGGCACCTAAGTTAGGAACAAATGTCTTGCGGTTTATCACGTAAAATTAACACTTCAGAAAAAAATCAAAATGAAATGTTCTGGCTGATTAATTTCACGCTTTCAAAAAGATCAGTAAAGTCAATAAAGCTCTTGTTAGGTAGAGGGTGCCCGGCTTTGTATTCCTCAGTAGAAAAGTTGAGCTTCTAGGCGTTAAAAATAATTTTTCTGCGTAACGTCCTGCCTGTCTTAAATTTTTCAAAATATGAAACATTCTTGAAAGAAAATTGAAACAATCGAAAAAGGAAGAAGTATACCGTTAATACCATACCTTTTCAGATTTATTCCATTTTTTTTTTCGCCTTGTATAAATTGACCTGAGATGTAGCGTCCTCCTTCCCTTCTTCTTTAAAAGGCGAGAGAAAAAGGTTTCTTTTTTATAATCAGTCGTTTTTTGTAATCAGTCCCATAAAATCCATTCCATTCCTCAAGTTTTCACGGGATCATTTACGGTCGACTTTAGGGATCACTTGCGGTCGAGGATCATTTGCGGTCCATTTTGGGGATCATTTGCGGTCTCGGGATCATTTGCGGTTGGGGATCATTTGCGGTACTGTACAGAGTTATCAGCCATCAATTTGTACTGCTCACATTTTGCGGAATGTGGTGTGCCTCTAACCTGTTGGATGCAGCTGAGAAATGAGAAGACCAAGAAAAACACCAGGGTACTGGAGGGAATCGCCCAATAATAATAATAATAATAATAATAATAATAATAATAATAATAATAATAATAATAATAATAACAATAACAATAAATTGATAAATGTTGATCGTTAAATTTTGGTCAAGTATGTACTTGTTGATCTAACCAACAGTTTCAATAAAACCCTTTACATTTCAGTCACTAACGAAAGTTGAAAACCTTAATAAATAAGCAAAAGAACTCAAATAAATTCTGAATGCAACAATATCTATTTCTGGACAATATATGTATTTTTTCTGAATATTTGGTTACCTTTTCCCATTTTGCTATCTTTCTCATATCACCCTAAAATGATGCGATCCTCTTATTTGAAATTATTTTGCTATGTCAGGCAGATCAATTTACCATTTTTGAATGTATAGGAGGACTAATCCATCTGGATTAATTACACCCCATAAGTGGTTTACTTCCTTGAAAGCGAAGGTTGAGCTCGGGCCTCACGTCTCTTAGAACGTGCTTTAAGCCTGAGATCGTCGTCTATAAATTCATTTTTGGGTGGGCCTCGGAGAGTATTTTGTCAGCTTTATATTTTTGCTTATCCAAGACGAGTAATCTTACATAAGGTTTTTGTTGACGCACGTCTTCAGAGGCCCAAAGGAAGCACATTTGGACGTGCAACAGGTCTAATCCATCTGGATCAATTACATCCCATAAGTGGTTTACTTCCTTGAAAGCAAAGGTTGAGCTCGGGCCTCACGTCTCTTAGAACGTGCTTTAAGTTTGAGATCGTCGTCGATAAATTCCTTATTGGGTGGGCCCTGGAGAGTATTTTGTCAGCTTCATATTTTTGCTTATCCAAGACAAGTAATCCTGAGTAAGGTTTTCGTTGACGCACGTATTCAGAGACCCAGAGGAAGCACATTTTGACGCGAAACAGGTAAAATTATTGCCGAGAAGCCTTTCAAGAAGTAGGGAAGAGAAGCCTCCCAGTTCCCAGTTTGCATGGAGGGTTTCACCCATAAATATCCCGCGCCACTAGTTGCTGCCTTTGTACCTCCTAGGATGCGCATGAAAAATTATCTTAGTTCGTAGGTAAACAAATATTATTGGGGTACTCGAGAAAACGATGAAACGTGCAGTCTGCACCAAATTTGTATTGTTCAGATTGCAGTCGATTTTCAACCCCCTTAACAAAGTTTGCCAAGAACCATTCTTGTTTGATGAAAATTACCAGAAATTGGTAATATACCAGTACAATAATCGATGGTCATTAGTAACTTACCACTGGTCAAATATAGCTGCAAATAAAGCACCTGAGCGGCAAGGAAACCAAAGAGTGGCTTCGTTGTCATTGCCTTAATTCTTTACGGCTGTGTATTTGATATTACCTCTCCTCTGTTGCAAATACGTATATGGACACTAGGCATCTCTATTTAAACCTTCTCGGTTTTGGAATGAGGAAGACTTACACCAGTTATTTAGCACCTATCTCTGCAACGGGGTTAAGGGGTCGTCGGACCATGTGAGCGTTTCAGCGTTTAATCCGCTGGCGATGTCGACATTCTGAAAAATGATTGGCTGGGATTAGAGAACTACTTACTACAATAGTCCATGCGGATAAACTTCAAGCAACCTTTTATTCAGTATCCGTTGGCTGACCACTTTCCGGAAATAAACAACTATTCATGCGACATTGAATAAAGATGATCGTAAACAGGTACACTAGGTATCACAGATTGTGTTGCTAATCTTGCTAATAAGGACATTTTCTGTCCTGAAAATACAGGTCACGTAATTTCGAGGTCTTAGAGCATAGAATATATTAGTAATAGTAGCCTTAATCAACACAACGATGCGCGGAAGCTCTGCAGTTGCCAAAATTAAGACACTTAAAAATTATGAGACTTGGATAAAAAAGGAAGACATTCGAGTACATGATTCCGCATTCTCCCGCTTAAACGTGATCAAAGGGAAGTTGATGTTTGTTATCTTAAAAACATACTGACACGCACACCTCTTAATACAAACAGCTGTGCTATTGATTTCAAGTCAATTTTCCTTAACAAAGTACGTAAGTTGCTATTACAGTTCTAGAAAGGAATTTTCAAGCGAAAGAATAAAAGTCTCACGGCAAACGGAGCTAAGGCCAAACTGATAGGCTTTTAGAGTTCAGAGGATTTGATGTTCACCTACTCGGAAGTTTCCAACTCCTACTGTTACTACAACAACATCAACCAACCATTTATTTTGCCAAATTAAAAAACCTTTACAAAGAATAGCATACATTAAAATAGATAAGGCAAAAAAGCTACTCAGAATAGCAAAAAGCTAAACGAGCTAAGTAGATACAATATTTAAATTACATTTTATGAGGTTGTGACACACAACCTATAAAGAGGAAGAATATCGCCATAACCGCATGACAACCGCTGACCACTTCAAGAAGTGATTGGAACTTTTTGTTTGTCTCCTAAGTGGCCTGATTCGGCCTTAAAAATAGTGGATTTGCCTCGTCTCGTGAATGAAAATAAATGCACGCGAGCGTTATTTCCTGATCAAGCAATGCGTTTCCATAGTAACACCAATCTTCGAAAAATCAGGAATATTCAGC